CTTGGCACTCCTTCCTCTTCATTTTCCTTGTCAGGCAGGTGTAGCTGCCTGCAGAGTGCATCTTTATACAGCACATTGGGCCTCCCCACCACGAGCTGCACATCCCAACTGTTTTTGAGAATTGTTCACTTGTATCAGGATGAGAGTGGGGGCCTGTGTTGTGTTGGTTTTTCCCAAGTGCCTATTTCCTTTCTGAGGCACTCTTCAGAATCCTCAATGTGTTCGGGGGCCCTGGGAGAAGGATGAAGGTTTAGGAGATTCTCTGGGAGCTATTTATGTGCTGCCTGCAGACAACCATCCCATTATCTGTCAGATTGTTGCACAGCCAGCTGTGGCAGCTGATTTCAGGTGATATAGCTTCTTCTTCTGAAAGTGAGGAGCAGCAGTAGACATAGCCTGGTGTGCAAAAATCATTGGAGATCCCCAAGGTCTAAGCCTGTGAAAATCCTTGGGGTCCCTTCCTTGTAGGGATGCTGCTGGCAACAATTCTAAGACAGTTCTGAATCCTGTTGCCTCCGTCTCCTTCACTGTCAGCCATACCTTCCCTTAGTCAGAGCATCATTTTGCCTTGAGCCCGGAAGTATTCATGGAATTGACTCCACTGTGTAAGAGCCAGAGAAACCCCAAAGGGGTTTGTGTGTTTGCATGTGTTCAGAACGATGAAATACATCTCTGCTGCCAAGTGTCCCTCCATGCTGGGACAACACAGCAAACCAAAACAGGTCAATGCTGTGAGAGGTGCACAGGCACAGCAGAGACCTCTCCAGCTATCACACAGAGCAGGCCCAGCAGTCTTCCAGCCTGGCAACGATCCAAGCAGGATAGGCTAATAACTGGGGCACAGAATGGGACAGGAAAAGGAGGATGACAGACACAGGGGGATGGAGTCCTGTTCCTCTCCCCACCTCTTCTCTCCCTGTGCTTCTCCTCTCCTGTATGGTCTTGTAATAAGTTCTGCTCAGTTTATAGTATTAGGGGGAAGACTTAAAAAACTGCAATGCTTTCTGCTCTCTCCCCACATCACCTAAGCAAGGTAGAAAAGAAAGGTCAGGAATACAACTGTCATCAGGCCCTTTTTTTGCCTGTTGTAGGGGTAAGGCTGGGTAGGGGGGGGAAAGCCATTTCTCTCTCCACCGTAGCCCCCATTCCAAGCCAGTGGATGAAGTTTGCACAAGATGGACTGTTCCGTGGGAGGAAGAGGGCAAGAAAGGGGAATGAAGTGTCCTGCCTTCCTTCCTCCTCCCCTCTTCCTTGTCCTGCTCCCTTCCCAGGGATGAGGGCTTGCAAAGTGATGCCAGCCCTTTTGGAGGAAGGCGGATTTAACGTTCTATTTGCATGATGATTTTATTGTATTTTTCTGAGCAAACATCTGTTGTGTATGTGCCAGTTTGTTGGAATTTAACTTCCTCCCCAAAGTCTCTCCCATCCTTATCCCCATTTTTCCTGTTCCTTTCCATCATCTCTGATATAATTTTATGAGAGATTGCTACAAGTTTGAGAGGGAAAGCACCCCAAAGAGAGCCCAACGTAATCAACCCAACAAAAATCTTCCACTCCTCTTTCCAGTATCCACTCCCCTTGCCCCAAATATGGTCTCTTAGCTGCTTTTCAGGGTGTGTGTGAAGGGGAATGTGTTATATGCCAAAGTCCTGCTCTTCCAAGTGCTCATAATTTCTCCTAATTATTTAGAAATAGGAGAGAGGCCCATCGAGATAGGTCTCATAAGAGAAATGGTTACTACCATCCCCCTGCCCTGGTTTCACCTTCCCCAGATCTACAGGCAACGCCATTCTTGGGGGAGCCAGGAGTGCCTCACCTGCAGGGAAACGTGATGCAGGAAGAACTTGATCTGGAGCTGGTTGCAAGCACTGTAAGACCCACTACCACCTTCCTCTCACTGACTGCAGATGGCTTTGCAGTAGGCCTATCCTAACCCTTTCCTGTGGGTGGCCCTAGCAGAGAGCATGGCACGATGACGCCTGTAAGACCTTCCTGGTGGAAAAAGGCCCCAAGAGAATGCCCAGAACTTCTAAGCCCTCTACAGGTTGGTTTTGGTGATAGCTCCTCATCCTTGCCTTCTTCCAGGGCAAAGTAGATTCGTGGGGCAGAACAAGGACTATCCCCCTTCACACATTATTTCTGTGTTGGTGACTACTGGCAGGGAACATGTAGTTTTAGTTCACCTCATTGGAAAGAGTGGAGAATGCAAAATGAGAGGGAGTTCTGATCTGCCCTCTCCTCAAGAATAGACTGAGGGGGAGCTGGGTTGGATTCCTGCATCCAGAAAAGTAAAAACAAGACCCCAGGTGTGATGTTGGTTTCCTGTGGGACAGAGCCTTCCCCTTCCCCACACCTGTAGGTGATGACTGACCCCAGCTCATGCTCCAGTGCCACATTCCCACTCCCCACTCTTCCATGCTGAATAAATCCCTCCTGAGGCAGGTGTGAAATATTCATGACTGACAAATGAAGATTTATGTCGGGCTGAGGAGGTCTCTGTGCGTTTGCAATGCTAATCAGCCTGTCTTCCTGGAGGAGGTTCTGCCAGGCAGGCTTGGGGGAAGGAGGGGGAGATATGCATAAGGGAAGCAGGAAAGGGAACTGAGGAAGGGAGAGGAGGGGTTAGGGATGAGGATGATCTATACTGGAGAGATGGAGGGATGGGGAGGGAGAAAGTAGGAAACAGGCAGAGGGAAATGAAGAGGGACAGGCTGGAAGGAAGAGGGGAAAAGATGGCTGTACAGGAAAGAATGGGATATAAAGGGTGAAAAGGCTGAGTGCAGGTGTGGAGGCTCCCTGAGAAGAAATGGGGAATAGTCAGCAGTGTCTGAAGAGAAAAGCTGGATGGGCTTCATGATGAGTTGTGGTCCCTCTCCGTAGGGCAGAGCTCAGCATAACAGGACGGGCAGCTGCCATGTGGGCAGGAGCTGCTGGAGCCAGGGCCCTGAAAACACATTTGCCATGCTTCTTGCTCATCAGAAAGCTCGACTGAATCTGGAAGCACACAGCCTCTGGGAACCTGGAGAAAAGTCCTCTTCCTCCGCCACCACCTCCTTCGGCTGCACAAAAGAGGAGCCTCATGGAGCCATCTCCTGTCGCTGGAGCCAGCCTGCTGAACGTCCCACCACCTGAGCAGCCTCAGGGTGGCTTTGAGTGGGAAAGACACTGAATGCCACCCTTCGCTGGGCCATGGGGCTCTCCCATAGAGCCGGAGGAGCCTGGTCCACTTCATCTGCCCCCTGAAGGCAGATGTTTCGGGATGTCCCCAAGGGGCAGATGGGGTGTCTGTTGTTCCCCCTTCTCCCCCCCCCCCAGACACGCACCCTGTCCCTCCAGCTGCTTTGGCCTTGTACTATGAGGGGCTCTCTTGGTCTGCCTCCCCTTTTCTTCCCCTGCCTTGAGCCACAGTGAGCTGTCTCTATACCTCTCCCCATGAAGTCAGCTCTCAACCCACCCCTCTTCAACCCTTCCCCCCTTTCCCCATCTCATGGGTCCCCCTCCGTCTGCCCCATCCCCATGCGTTTGGCTTGGCCTTTGCCTCTCTGTTACCACCACCGCCACTGTGAGGCCTTGCTCTTTGGTGGCCCGCTCCCACCGCCCATTGTCCCCTTGTCCCCAGGGAGAAAGGGCTGGCTGGGTCAGGTGAGGTCCACCAGGGCTGGTACCACTGGTCCATCCACAAGCACAGCACTCGGGGTGAGGGGATGGGAAGGGGTGGGCAGATGCCAGGAGAAGAGCTGGGGAGGTTTCCCCTTGAATGTAAAGAAGGGCCTTGGAGGCAGCTGTTGGGACTGGCTCCTTGTGTCCTCTTGGTGTTCCTCTTTCCACAACAGCCCTGTGACCCCCCTGGTTGTGTATGGATACATTTGAGTTGGAGTTATGTTGTTTTTTTCTGTTCTTTCTTTCTTTCTTTCTTTCTTTCTTTCTTTCTTTCTTTCTTTCTTTCTTTTTCCTTAGCTTTCAGATTTCTCTTTCTTTTCTTTTTTTCTTTCTCTCTCTCTCTCTCTTTTTTAATTTTCATGTTTTGAAAATGAATGGCACGAAATTATTTTTCCTCAACTCGGAGATTCCTGTATGGAGAAATTCAATTTCTATATTTGCAATAAATTTCTTATTTAAAAAAAAAAAAAAAAAAAGAAAAAAACAACAACAACAAAAAAAAAAAAACCAAAAAAAACCAACAAACAAAAAAGTGAAAAGCTGCTTCTGAGTCTGTTTGTCTCAGCTTTGTTTTGCACAAGAGGTGATATAGATTGGGAGGGAATGGGGGGAAACCAGAAAAGCTGGGTGGGATGGTGGGAGAAGGATTCCAGATTCTCCCAGGCACTCAGTGCCCATCTGCTCCTCACTAACACACTATTTCTCTGCTCTTAGATGTTGACTTATTCATAGAATCATAGAGTCATTTGAGTTGGAAAGCATCCTTAAAAGTCATCTGGTCTAACTCCCCTGCATTGAACAGGGACACCTATGGATAGATCAGGGTGCTCAGAGCCTTTCCAGCTTGACCTTGTGTGTCTCTAGGGTTGGGGTAACTGGGCAATCTGTGCCAGTACCTCACCCTTTCTGTTAAAAAACACCTTTTTGTCCAATCTAAATCTCCCTTTTAATTTGAGACCATTTCCCCTTGTCCTGTCCTAACAGACCCTGATAAAAGAGTCTGTCCCCTTCTTTCTTATTGCCCCCCTTTCAGTACTGAAAGGCTGCTCCCATGTCTACAGGTCTCCCCGGAGCTATGTCCCATCCCAGGCATGCATAAACCACTGCCTGTGTGTAGGACAGTGCTTCTTCACCCACAGTCTGCACAGCAGATCTTCAGCTGGTGGCAAGAGGCATTCTCCACCCATGTCACGGAGCTGTCAGAAGAAAGGCCCCTGAAATCAGGTAATTTGGCTGTAGGTAGTGACTGAGCAATCTGTGGACTAACCTACAACCACATACACTGATCTCAGCTCTTCCTAAGCATCAATATTTCAAGACAAGAATGCAGCTAGCAAATCTGTGTGTATTGGTGCATTTATACAGATAATTAGGCCAATTTGTGCATGGTGACATAGCAGCCATTCTCATAAATATCTTATCTCTTCCTCATCTCCTGATTTTTTCTCCAAGAGTGGTATTGCTGCTTGGCGCAGAAGTTATCATCTTTTGCCATTGCACATTCTTCTTTGATCAGAAAAGTAACTGTGGCTTCTGGGGTTCCTTCATGGAGGCAGCTGCTGCGACTTTCTGAAACAGCCTCTCTTCCTAGAGCAGAAAGTGGCAGAAATAAGCAGTCTTGGGGGGTGGGGATGAATATGAACGCAGCAGTGACTTTCAGCTCCTGGATATATATGCCACAGTAGCTGGCAACTCTTATTAATGCTTGAATTGATTTTAGAGCAGCCCAGGGCAGCTGCTACTACATGCAGATGCTTCACAGTCTGATATGTTCTTCCTTGGTCCTGAGAAGAATGACTGAGCGTGGGAAGGAATGGCATTGGGCTGTGCATCTCTGGGGGATGGAAAATGGTGCATAACAAAGAGGAGCTCTGATGGGGTTTATCAGAGCTCTGTGTACTTTGTGGAAAGCTGGATCATCAGGTCAAAGTAATATTCTTGGCATCTGCATCTCTGCAGTGCAGGTTTATGTGCTGTTGGAGATAGGGAATCTTAAACCTTGAGAGAAATTAATGCAGAAATTTTAAACAGGTATAATCTCATCAGTAGAGTGCCCCCATGCTGTTTATTTTGTTCCTAAATTCAATTTTGTCTCCACAGTCCTTGCATTTCAACTGGTTGCTCTGCCACAGGGAGGACAAAGGACAAGATGTATTTGCAGATGCTGTCTAGGGGAAAAACAAAGCTTTGGGAAGGAAAGACTGTCAGGGCTGGGGTAGTCACAAATGTCCTGAAGCCAGGTGGAGACTATTGGACTGGGGGCACATTGAAGGACTGTAGAGTCGTAGAATCATAGCATTATAGAACTAGTAAGGTTGGAAAAGATCACTAAGATCATCAAGTTCAACCATCAACCCATCATCATCACACCCACTAAACCACGTCCCTCTGCACCATAAGGAAAGAAGCAAGCAGTTCTGGTATTCAAGCAGCCTTTGGCTGATTCCAGTCATCCCCTCAGATTCTTATCCTCTGTACAGGGCTGTAATTTTTGGTTCATGATAATTTGGTGTCTTGTGCTTCATCCATGCTGTCTTGCTTCTTCATCATCCCCACTTACCAAGAAATTTGGCTGCAGCAAAAGAAAGTCTAATTTAGTGACGGAGACTTTAGCTGGAAATCATATAGGACAGCTAAGATCTCAGCAAAAGATACAGGAGTGAAGGGTTAAGGAGGATAGAAGGAGCACTTGCATACACAAAGCTCACTTACATATTTATGACAGTGCTCCATTCCTTACCTTCCCAACTATCAAACAAAGATCTGTGTCCTCCCAACCCTCACTGAGCTCCTTAGGACAGTCTTCATGGTTACATGATGCATCTTGCAATAGGATTACCATGCTGGCCAGGGCCTGGTATTTAGCACAAGTCTTCAAAGGGAGAAGTCACGTCGCAGAAAGTGAGTCTAAGGAGCTGTACTGGTGACTCTTGCTAAGCAAGGCAGAAGTAAGCAGTGGCCCAGCCAACACTACTGTGGAAAATGGATCAAAAGCCTCATCACTTTTTAAATAAGAAACACTTAAATAAAGAAAAGCGTTCAGCTCCATCTCTCTGTATATGTCACCAGAAAGGGCATCATTAAGAATTCATTGCAACTTCTGCACCCAATTTTCCGGCCTAGTGCCTTGTCCTGCTTGTCTTGCTCCAGCTCCAAAGATGGTGAGCGTGCTGCCATGAGTATCAAGGGACATACCGGATCTGAATAACAAGATGGAGCTTGAAGAAAGGGTGGGGGATTCTGAGGACCTCTGATGTGAAGTGACTGAAAGAGGGAGAAGCATAGTCATGCAAGGACCATGGGGAAGAGCCAGAGTTGCCCACAGACCTGTGAGCAAATAGACAGAGACCAACCCATGCTGATGACTGTCTCCTGCTAACATGAACTGGGACATTTCCTTAGACTTTGTTCTTTCCCTACCCAAATGTCTGGAGTTTATCCAGAGATGACTTTAAGGGTGTGACCGGGGCTTCCCAGCAGCTCGGAATGGTCCGTGCTCTATCTGACCAAGATCTTGAGCTGCAGGGCAGTGATAAAGCTACCCAATGAAAACAGGCAAACCAAGAAAAACAATGCCATGAAGTTAATTCCTCAGGGCAAGGAGCTGCTGAGCCTGTCAGTTTAAAGTTTTAAAGGCTGAAGAGGCTGTACCTGATGTATATGATTACCTTCAGTGAAGTGAAATGTCTGTTTATTCCTATAATATCCTGTCGGAAGAAAAAGGACTTCGTTCAGGGCTCTGCTCAGATCAGATATTTGCTCAGAAGATACATGAGAACCCAGCTCACCATCAGCTCCTGGTAAGGTGGGCCGAGACCTATTGCCCCCATTTCCCTATAGTGCATTTTCACTCTCTGTCTTTTGTCACTGTCATTCACCAAGCTTCCTACCTGTGACACCTGCTTCTCCTCTCTGCTTCTCAAGTGGCAGCCAGGGAGATAATTGGTATTTTTGACACTGTTTGTTGAGTACTTTGTGGCAGGAGCTGCTGGGATGAAGTGGCAAATTAGATAATTAAGGTTAATTATAGGCTTTCCAGGACTATGTTACCATACTGCATGAGGATGGTGCACTCCTTTCAGGGCCACAGCAGTGAATGGTGCCATTGGGGCAGAGGGGAGAAGTAGGGAGCCGCCAGTAGCATTGATGGTGGCAGCCAGGAAAAGAGCAGTCCTGCTTCTTAGTGATCTTGCAGGTATAGGAGTGGAGCAAGCCGTAGGGAACTGAATTGGTGGATATTGACTGGGCAACATCTGTAGAAACTAAGGTTTGAGTGACTTTCACAAGGCTCTGAATAGTACTTGGATACCCACAACTGCCAGGTGATAACTCTACACATTCATGCATGTTCTGCTTCTGTAAGAAGGGGTCATGGGCCCTTCCAGCTCCTCTGAGAAGACCTGGCTCCCTGTGACAGAGGATCACTACATTGCTGCCCAAGTTACCCCTGTTGTGACACTTCTGGTAATGGCCTAGGTTGTACAGTTGGGAAGGTATGGTGTGGGCCACTTCTATCCCTTTGCCATACTATCAGAATCAGAAAAGTGGCAATTTCTCAGACTTCCCTGGGAAGTACTTCTTGGAGGGATCAGGCATTTCTCCCCTCAGAGATTCACCAGGTTTCTCCTAGTTCCTCACTGAATGCTTTCAACTGTAATCAATTTCTTCCATGCTTGGATCCAAAAGACAACTTACTGCAGTATCTGGGCACCACTCACAGGCTAGAATTTCTTTACACTGAGCACAATATGGAGGAAATCCAACAGATTTGGGCAGAGGCATCACCTCAGAAATGACTGAAGCAGAGAAAGTACCATGCTATTCTTGCAACTAGGAGTCAGACTCAGCATCTATTGACTATAGCAAAGGGAAAAGAAGAATTTGACTCAACACATAATAGCTCAGAGAGTAGCTTCAGAGGGCAGAGAAAGAAAATCTCAGCGTCTTCCTCAGACTCTTGAGTAGCAGTGCTCTATTAAACAAACAATATCTCTGCATAGAGCAAGCACAGGCTTAATCCCATGTGATTCTAGTATTTTTAGCAACTTGCTTGTGGATAGGCTAACCAGGACTTTTTCTTGCTTCATTTGCAGGAGCCCTGAAGCCAGACTTCAAGTTTCCAGCAGTGACCACTAAGTAGGATGGCATGAATGTAACTTAATGTACTATTCCAAACGCTGAATTAGGCCAGCACAAAAATGTAACTAGTTCATTATCTTGTCTTGCACAGAGAGAAGGAACAGAGGCTTAGGTTATTAGAGAACAGGGCAAATATATGGTCGCACTTTCTTAATAAGCTGTCCAGTTAGTTACACTCAAGTCAGAGATATCACATATTTGAATGTGCAATGTCTATTTTTTTTTCTTTTCTTTCTGTGAATCTGTCCAGTTGGTGTTGTAAAAGCTGTCTGGGACTCTTTAAACTACTGAAAGACCAGACTGAGGAAAATAAAGAAAGGAAGGCTCATGCATTGTTCTTGCCCAGCCAGCCTGCCCTGGACATCATCAGAGACAATAACATTAGGACAGATGTACCTTCACAGTTATCTTATATATCCATTCTTCTACATTTCTGCATACCTTATTCAACATCAGACAGCCTTGTGCTACCCGTGTTTACTCAGAGAGGCTGCAGCAGCAGTCTGAAATTCCAGATAACTCTTAGCCTGATGTTAAGATCATCTGACAGACCTGATGGGAAAACAGCTGCATCTGAAGCTTTCCAGCATTGCAGCAGTGAGACTCATGGTTTCAGAACAAGGCTTCTGCAGCTGCTGTTGATGGTTCTCCCAGCACACAGAGAGTACCTGAATAAAACTAAGGCTTGCAACTATTTGGCATGGACTGAAAGGGCAAGTGGGATGCTCAGGTAGAAAGCAAACTTAAATATACACAGCAGCAATCAAATGAATGGGAGACAGAACTGCATGCAAGTTGGGCTTCTCAACAAATAAAGTCAGAACAGTCCCAGAGAACTGGTTGTCTTATGCACCAGTCTGAACAATTACCTCTCCCAGCTCCATGCCAGGTGTTGTGACCGAAGCCAGGTATGTCAGAGCAGGTGAAAGAGGGGAAACCACTGCACTGGGGCAACGGAATCCTCCTAGCAGTAAAATTTCCCTTGTGATAGGAATGTTGATGTCAGCAATTGCTGACAATGAGATACTGGCGTGAGATACAAAGAAATCACTGGTGAAAATAGACAAGGAAGAAGCTGAAACATCTGTCTCCATGACTTAAATCACCTTGATTTTAAGCCAAGAAGGTTTCTGTGGAATTGATCCTAGGAGATGAAAATCTACAATAGATGTGCTAATGACCTTATTTGCAGTCAGCTTCACATTCTCCTTCAAGCAGATGGTAGGTATGCTCTGTATTATTTGCACATGGGACACAGATCTGAATTTCTCTGAGTAAGCCTCCAGGTGTGTTCTCCATTACTGTTTGGAACTTTACAAGCAAAATTGTACAAAAGCATTTAAGTGGCAGAAGGAAGACTTGGTATTTTATGGGCCCACTGCTGAATGTGGAAGATGTCCTGGTGATAGAGGACATGGAAAAGGCTAAGGTACTGAATGCCCTCTCCATCTCAGTGTTTACTAGAAAGACTGGCCTTCAAAAATTCCAGGCCCTGGAGTCCAGGGGGAAAAATGGTGCAAGAAAGATATAACTTTAGTGTAGGAGAATCAGGTTAGAGGATATTTAAGAAGCTAAATGTGCGTAAGTCTATGGGCCTTGATAGGAGACAGCCAGGGGTGCTAAATAATATTTAAACAATCACAGTGATTAGAAGTGATTGAGGACTAGAGGAAAGCAAATGTTACTCCATTCTTCAAGAAAGGCAAGGAGGAGAACCCAGGGAACTACAGGTCACTCATCCTCAACTCAATCCCTGTGAAGATGATGGAGCAGCTAGTTCTGGGGAGCATTTCCAGGTACATGAAGGACAAAAATGGACCACAAGGATGATGAAGGAACTGGAACACCTCTCCTATGACTGCTCATCCTACAGGGCAGACTCAGGGCACGTTCTCATTTGTGTGTATGAGTATCTGAAGGGAGGGTGTGAAGAGGATGGAGCCAGGCTCTTTTCAGTGGCGTCCCGAGACAGGTCAAGAGGCAGTGGGTACACACTGGAACACAACATGTTCTGTCTGAACATTGGGAAACAGTGAGAGTGACAGAGCACTGGAACTGTTGCTCAGAGATGTTGGAGATAAAAATGACCTGGACATGGTTCTGGGTAGCCTGCTCTTGGTGACCCTGCTTTAACTGTGGGCTCAGAAACAAAGACCTCCAGAGGGCCCTTCCAACCTCAACTATTATGTGAAAATGCGGGATAATATATACTCAAACGTCATCTGTATCTTCAGTAGTGAAACTATCATAGCATTGTCTGCGTGATACTTTTGATGTTACAGAAATTGTAAGTCTACATGAAGTCATGAGAATGTTTTCATGCCAGCTGGTTTGAACTGAAATTTCTCTGTCTTTTTAGAGATATGTGCCTTTAAAAGGGTTGAAGCTGCTTTGAGGAATCCGTGCATTTCTGATTCCTGTCAAGTTGGAATA